TCATTTACCTATTTATATATATATCTTTATTCATAAATCATTAATTAATAGAGTTATCACGATCGCCTGGAGAACGATCAGCCACTGCAGGTCTGAACATTAGGGACCCGAAGTTTTAAATCTTTGATTATTCATTTATCTCAACGTTTATTCGTTTATTCTTTTATCCATTTACCTAATTTATAAATTTATTCATCTAAAAAATGTCAATAGATTTATCACGATAAGCAGCAAAACGGTCAGTCACTACAGTAGGTCTGGACACAATTGACCCTAATAATTATGTGTTTAATCCCTTTATCTCATTATTTTTGTTTTCTTTAAATTGGTGGGAAAATATGCATACATTGTAGACATAACAATGCACACATTTACCATTATCATATACAAATATTGCGGACGTAATTATCTTTCATGATCTAACAAGTTTATCATTGCATTCAAAATAGTTATTTCGAGTATCTATAATGATTTTGATATTTAATCTATTTATATATATTCACTTATTCCGTTAATTAATTCCTTGATTTTCTGTGTGCTATTTATTCTTTCATTTATCTGTTTTTTCATTTGTTGTTTTTATTTATTCTTCTGTTTATTCATTCATTTCCATGAAGAGTGTATCTAATATCTATGTATGCGTTCATCTATTCTGATATTCTTTTTCCGCTTTCCCTTAATTCTTCCAATGTAATGATAAAATACTTTCATCATTTTTTAAAATCCCCCTGCTTTTCATGGTTAATTTATCATTTGACTTGATCTTAAACAGATACAAAAACGAACAAGAAAACAGTTTTTCCGTCTCTTTATTCACAGTCATTGATGCATTTCACCTTGCAGATGGTTGAAGGGTACTATTGGTATGTCCTATTTCTTATCTTTCCTTCTATTGTTTTTGCCTATCTATTTTGCTCTTTCCACGCACTAAATAACCGTCATTCTGTCGATGTGCTTCTTTTTACTCAAACTCAAACTCAAACTCAAACTCAAATTCAAAACTCAAACTCAAACTCAAACTCAAACTCAAATTCAAAACTCAAACTCAAACTCAAACTCAAACTCAAACTCAAACTCAAACTCAAACTCAAACTCAAACTCAAACTCAAACGCAACTCACCTTTGCCGCCGTATATCACCGGAAATGGTGAGGTGGTGCAGGCGATTCCCGCCAAAAACATACAGGCCAAGTGCAAACGACGTCTGCCGACCCGGTCCAACAACAGCATGCAGACGATATAAGAGAGGATCTCCACAGCTCCGTACAGCACGCTGTTCAGGTAGATAGAGCCCGCCAAATCTCCGACATTCAGAGTCAGGCCATAATACGTCATGCTACAGACCATCCTGTTGATGATGATGATGATGATGATGATTACGAAATTTTGAAGCATTAGTTTCCGTTTCCTATTCGTGTGGCGGCGGTTTCGCACATTGTACTTATTATTATTTTAAAAATCTGTGTATGTGTATGTGTATGTGTGTGTGTGTGTGTGTGTGTGTATGTGTGTGTGAGTGTGTGTTTGTGTGTGTGTGTGTGTGTGTGTGTGTGTGTGACGTCACGTCTTTAGCAAAAGATCTGTCTTATAAAAACTCATAGAGTAAATGGAAAATCTATTACCCTCCCCTCCCCACCCTCTACCCACTCCCTCCCACACTCATCCCGCTAAAACCCCCAGAACATACAAACACACACACACACACACACGTACACACACACACACACACACACACACACACACACACACACACACACACACACACACACACAC